AATAGCGTTAACGTATTTCAACGTAATAATAACCTATGGTAATAAAAAACCCTCTCAATCACAGAGTTCACCTAAAGAATGATCTTTTGTTCCAAATCGTACCACTACATTGATCTGCTTAGTTAGTGCAAACTATCGTACATTTTGTTATGTTCACCTGAGTTTATTCGGATCACCAGAAATTTTGACAGCATTGCAGTGGGAGTGTGTAAAAGACATGAGGCCTCCCTTTGAATTAAGGCTGAATCTTTGGAACGGTTCCAGTTTGCGATGAGCGTCATTATGCACCTTTTATGTGATGTGTTTTTGAACATTTCATGCCTAGTATATTTTTGCAGGTAGCATGGGCTTTCGACGAGATGAGTTCTCGTAAATCCTACTTCGCCGACAAAGTCAATGAGGACATCGAGGCATTCGTCTTGGATGTAATTCATATTGCAGTTACGAATACAAAATGCCCAGTAGTTGCGAAGGCTCATTCGGCATTTGCGGAGGTAGATCATGAAATTTATTTTTGCAGTATCATCTATACATATGTTGATAGTTATCATGTGTCGTGTTGAAAATTTAGCTGTCTTTTAGGCTAATCTCCGAACCGATTTCCTTGTGGGACTTTTATCTCGCTGTGAAACAACTGGACCTTTACCAAAAAAGTTGAAAACAGCCAAAATCCAAGAGAGTTTAGCTGAGGTGCGTGAATTTTTAAAACCGTGCTTCAGAACCATCAACAACATTTTTTATAAAAATCTGCTTGCATTTTGTCCCTGACATTCCTCTTTGTCGCATTGGTTACTCCACTTTATCTATGTTTCAGCAGAAATGCTTGAGTTGCGGCTAAGTTCAGTTTTCGAACGCGAGTCAAACGTAAACATGCGGCTGCGTTCATAGCTGTCGCCATTTGAACACAAGAAAGGCAGAATTTACGATGAAAAGTTAGCTCATTGGAAATAAGGGTAGAGGTGGTCAGTGGAGCAGGGATGAAGAAGAAACCATTTGAAACGGCCCGAAACCCGAGAAATGGGACCCTTCCTTGCCCGTTGATTTGCGCATTGATGCGACTCTCATCGCTGTGCCCTCTTCAACACTACGCTCTCTCTGCTATCTAATCACTCGCCACGTATAGACCTGCGGCGAGTGATTAGATAGTCGGTGGGCGTACCCCGCCAACCGCGCCAAGAGTGAGCCATGCTAGATCGCCGAGGTCAAATCTTTCGCTGCCAATTGCGCGTCGGTCAGCACCCTCAGGAGGTCCGCCTGTCTCCCAACTATGCAATTTTCCCCTTCTTTACCTTCGTTCTTATCGTGAATTCCTCCGTTAACTATGCTTCGTCACTCTTGCATTGAGTGTGACTTAAAATTTAGGCGGCATTTGCGTGTCCAACCCAGTGGTGTGCCATGCAGAATGACCTTTTAGTCGACTTCTTTGCATAACGGCGTGTCGTTATGTAGCACACCTCTACCATAGGCCGATGTCAGACTTTGCGAATCGCGCTATTCGCATAGTCTGACATCGGCCTTATGCATATGTACGGCCCTATTGGCCGACGAACTGGCAAGTCGACAGGTTGAAATTTCGGCTGGTTTGATGAGGATGCCACATCCCACTTGAATCGACAAACAGTCTTGGTATGGAGTCTGCTGCAGCGATAGTAGTGGTTGATTTTCTGTACACTAGATTTTCCGTTGTAAGGACCATATTATTTGCCGAAATGCCTTAGAAAGCAGAAACGCATTTTAATTGAACAAGGCACTTGATCCTACATATTTTGGAAACTGTGGTTCACCGATATTATGCTCCGCACATTGAAGTTAATTTCCTGTGAAAAGTTATTCCTGATTGTTTCTTTTCTACCACCGAAAAACCTCTAAATGCTCTTGATTTTTAGCATGTAGTTTCCTTCCAGACTTCGTCCAAGCACCGCTTATTAGTATTGGTATTGAACTCTCTCATGGGTCTCTTTCATCTCGTCTTCCAACCCGCTGATCAGCAGTTGATCCGTTTTACCCATTATCTGAGGTGTCAGCGATGAAGTGAGGCAGTTTGCATGTTTTGCGACGCCACGGAACATGCAGACAGGGCAGACTCTGTAGAAAGTGCGAATAGTGTTAGTTCAGAATACTGGTGCACATGAAAAAGCTGACACTTGAATGGATAAGAACTCTTAACTCGTGTCAAACATGATACATCAACATTTCATACAACCGCTTTTCACTTGCAGCAATACCCGCAATTTCTGCACACTTTCCACTGGCAAGGTGTTAAGTAATTTTAGGAATATCGGCTTTTGCATCGCTAACGTGAGGCGTGCCGCACCCATTTCGGGCGGGGTTCCGCTTGGATTGTGTGTGGGGTCAAGCATGCGGTACGACAGGTGATGCCATCTGCTTTAGCTCCAATGCTGGGTTTGTTGGCTCTCCGCATAACGCTGCCCTTAGAAGACAACGCCCGTGAACCATTTCGCTTCCGCAGTTAGACCCGCTAGGAAACTTTCTTATCCTGCAAAAAGACGACGTTTTTTTTGCGCACGAATTATGGTCACCATAAATAATAAAATGCCTTGCTGATTAATATAATATCGCAATAAATCTGAAGCCTGTGCGGAAGAGATTGTTTCATGTTTTATTCTCACATCGAGCCCCATGCCCCACGCAGCGGAAAGGTGTTAACCCTTGCCGAGCCGCAATGTCGTTAATGGTTCAACCCAGTTTCTTTCGGTAATGCCAAATTTAGTGTCGCAGCCGACTCGCCGCAGCCAGAAAGGTGGACATATAGGCATTCATAGGAATAAGGTTTCTATATAATCAATCAATCACTCTTGCATTTCAAGGTTTCTTGTTAAGCTGATGCTGTTTCCAGATCTTTAAGAACGAAACAAAGGAGGAGTACGAGAAAAGAGTGTCATTTGTGATTGATATGCTGCATAGCCGTGTGAAGCCTATCGTCGATGCTGAAATTTTCCATGCCCTCTTCACTTTACTGAAGAAGTATGTAACTCGTTTGACAACAAGGAAACCGTTATTGTCGGCATTATTTTCAGATCGTGCGACGATACAGACCTCTTGACTATACGTGTGATAAGCTTACTGACCAAAATGCTGACATCGCCAGGTTTGATTTTAAGTTTTATCACGACACGAATGTTGCAATTGTAATTGTGTAAAAAGTCATTCAAGGAAAGTATAAGATAAATCCTGCTGACCTGGAAATGGATTTCGTGGTGGAAATGATGCGCGCGACACACAGTCACCATGTTCTCCGAGAATCCCTTCGATTGCTTACAGCCGCTGTACGCTTGTCACCTGTATGTTACACCAATCTGTCATTGTACTTTCTATTTTAATCCTTTTTTCTGTTTTTATTGTTTTTATTTTATCATTCTTCGAAACACAAGTCCATAGCTCACCCTCATGCTTTTGGTTGTCTTACA